CTTTTAACCCCTAAAAAACAGACCAGAAATTGAGGCCTGAACCAGGTATGAAAAACTTAAAATGTGATGTTTTTAAAGAAAAATTTAAAACTCGAATGTGAGAGAGATATTTATTCTTGATTGTGCTTGTGTTTTATAGGGCTGTATACATACACCAGAACACACTAAACTATGTTTTGGGTACATGCAGTCTATCAACATTACTCCTGTGATGTCAGAGAAAAATATTCACACATGAGAAATAACCATTCAAAGTTTCTATCAGACTCCTGTGTGGGCAGCTCATACTAGGAAATAAAATACTAGGAAAAAAATAGGAAACAAAATAGCCGTTTCTTAGCATGAGCTCATAGTAATGAAGAAAAAAAAAAATCAGAAACCATCATATGTGGGCAAAGCAACTTGTACCTCTTCCCAGAGGCCAGGTTCTGTTATCCGTTGTCAAGATGACTGACCAGAGAAGCAGGGACTCAACTCTCACAGGGAAGTAGCCACTGCAACTACTATACAGCCATGCTCCACCTCTGTTCCTCTTCTGAGTCTGTCCCACCAATCGTCCTAGGCCAGGGATGCAGGCTGAGGACCCCACTCACCTCCTGCAGCTCTGGGAGAAGTGCTGTTCTCACCTCTTGGTCTCTAACAGGCCTCTCCTCAGGTCTGGCAGGAAGCTGGGAAGCAACCAGAGCTGTAGCAAAGAATAGGAGGCTTTCAGAACCCAAAGATCTCCCTTAAGCACTCCCCAGGGGACATCATGCAAGTCTTCACAAATTAGAACAGTTTGCAGTGTCAATCAAATTCCAAGACTTGTGATTACCTACTAACAACCACCACTCCTACTCCAAGCTTCCAGTCTCACCCATGTTTCTCCCAGCTCCCTGCCAAGAACCAAAACCCAAATGATATAGCCCAATCACAAATAGTTTAAAATACAGATCTGCCATTTCCACACTTCCCAGAGGCATTATACTGTTTCAGCACACACTGAGCTGTACTAACTGCAGCCCCCAAATTTCTCCTAGATACTACCACACAGCACAACAGATAACTGCCTAGTTCCCTCACCTAATTCTGGCTCCATGTCTGATTCCTCTTTCACACCATTGCTCAGTAGCTCCCCAGGTGCTGAGGATGAATTCTGAAGGGACAGGTCCTGAGGTGCAACTTCCAGCGTGGGCTCCACCTCCAGTGTGGGGTCCACCTTGTCCCCGTGGCAGTGTGTCGAATTCTCCTTCTTGAATGGAATCTCTTGTCCTAAAACTTGGATGCTGATCTGGACACCAAACAGCACTAATTAGCGAAGGATGCAGAGTCAAGATTGCTCAAAGTTAATGGAACTGGCCTTCTACGGCAGACCATGAGATAGACAGTCTTACGGCTATTGGGCAGAGAAAAAGAAAGGCCTCTTTTAACCCCTAAAAAACAGACC